CGATTGTTTTCAATGAGTAGTTTTATCTCAGACAGAGAGTAGAGTAGATTTTTAAACAGTCTTTCTATCTCTACCATAATTTTTGGCAACGAGGCAAGCAGCCCCTGCCCAGTGACGTGCATACTACTGACCACTTTTTGACCAGAGTTGAGGAGATCTCGGCCGCTCGTGACAAAGAAGACCTACAGATAAGTTGAATATTCAGACGCAAAATATCTGGAAATACTTCGGGCGTATACCATGGTAGACGTTTCGCGGGGTTATCTCGAAAAATAATTTTGTCAGGTTGTATTTAAGATTTATGACATCCTTTCCTTTTTTTATTACTCGCACTCCAGTAGTGGAGCACATGTGTGTTTTTTTTATTAATCAATATATTGTGATTAATTTAATATCTTGTTTTATTTGGCTCTCTCTGTGTGTACCGTTACTTTCGTCATCTCTGTTAGATTCTCCTTTTGTGTGGTGGTCAAGCAAAACAAGTTCCGACTGACATCTCGTCCTGAGTCACTGGCGCTCTTAACCCCCCCCCTACTCTCCGCTTTATTGAGCTAGGGCCTAAATTTGCACGCCACTAGACAACTGTTTTGCTTGGACCAACCGTTAGATAGTATTTATCATTGTGTTTTATTAATTAACCAAAAAAAGGCGTGGCAGGACCTTTAAGAACAGTATTCCATAATAAAACGTTTCCACGATTCATTATTGCGTCAACATTTGCATGACTTCAACCGAGCACAGTCAAGATTCAGTTAATCTGCAACATCACAACACCAACAGTTCAATTACCTTTATAAGAAAATTAGTCACATAAAATTTAAACACATGCCTATATACGTGATGCACATATGAATGGAACGAATGGTGCTACAGCCTATTCTACGAAAAATATAAAATCTATAAGGCGTTTGCATTCCAAAGACTCTTCTCCACGTACAATACAATGTAATGGCACGCTCTCTGATTTAAAACAGAATATGAAAATATATGCGCACTTTAAGGAATTTTGGGCATTCCACTATTGTGTCGATAAAGGATTGGATATAATTTTTATAGAAAGTATTACTAAAACATTAAACATATATTTAATAAAACATTTAAGAAAACAGCAAAAAATATCTCAAGTTCATTATTTTCGCTTTCCTTGTTATGCGTGAGAAATGGACGTTACTTAAGGCTATAATTATAAATATACTACGGATTCTAAATACCAAAACAACATCTAATCCGACTTCAAGGAAAGATTTTCATACCCACGAAATAATATTTCAAATTACATTAATGAAAATGAACATACTTAGTGAACAGATGAGAGCTAGCGCATGAGATTTGCGTCACTATGTATGCTCCCTCGACTGAAAATTGTTATAGAGTACGTTGTCCTAAAATTCCAATGTTTATAATCCTCTACTGTGTTTAATTTTATAATAACAAAAACCTGTCTTTTCTGGAACTCCATTGTCTGACTGAATCAAACAAGATATATGTATGTTTAAATGTCTGTTTATTGTACGACGTTTCGGCCACATGTTACAGCCCATACCAATGAACGAGGAGTACTGTAATCGCGAAAAATTTCGAAATTGAGATTTTTTTTAGATTTTATATGAGATGTACATCACGACAACCATGACACTCATTTCCGTCGGTCTGTCGGCTGTCGCTCTGTTGGTCTGTCTGTCTGTATGTTTGTCTGCTAATCTTTGGACCGCATACACCTTGCTCGGATTTACATGAAACCTTCACATACTACTATGCTAAGGACGAGAAAGCTTTGTAGATTTAGAAAATCAGGGCAGTGGCGGCGAAACTAGGAGCAAAAACTCAAGAAAAAAACAAAAATCACTCGGAGGGTCCTGATGATATCCAAAAAAATGGTTTGTAGCGGTTGAAAATTTGATGTTGGGGGTTGTAGGGGTGGGTCAATTTTTTGGTGCCAGCAATTTATACGTTTACCAACCCAGGAAATTCTACGCGCCTATTAGACATTTCATAAATCAAAAATTTCCCCGTTCATTTGCCCTTAAAAGTTGAATTATAGATATATATCAACGAGCCTTACTTTGGATGTCTAGGGATGACTGAGCGTTTGCGTTTGCGGGTATAACCCGTTGGATGGCCGGTACTGTTGGTCGGGCGGTAGGCTAGATCGAATTGTTGGACCTTGGACCGATTGTATGATTTAGGCCCGTATCGTCAGTCGTCCCTACAATTGTAGGGCGGCTTTATGGCCTCCTTGATTGTCATAGTTTTCTACTTCTCCGTGTCAGAACTCTATTTTGAGGTTATGTCACAAACATCTATTTGCATCAAATTATGCTTGCTTTTGAGTTATATCATGTTTTATCAGCCTGAAATTTCCTACAATTTAAAAAGAAAACATATCTTCACAATAGGAGAGCGCTGACGCTGACACGGGACAAGTGTAATCTAGAAATTTTGGAAGGAAAGAAAGGAGTATGACAATCAAGGAGGCCATAAACGCGCCCTACAATTGTAGGGACGACTAACGATATGGGCCTTAATTCCTTTGTTATACACGTTCGTAGCCAATGTTTTCCGAAGAGGCACTAAATTGTGCCGAATATAATCCCTTATGGACTGATGATAGCATTGGTTAGGAAGTGCGGGGTCTACCTAATTCACGTCATTTTTGCACCTGATTTTAGATCCATGAAAATGCTTTTGTATGAGCTGAATTTATGAATCATTGAATGGCAAAATGTTGAAACACACAGTTTTCGCCTATTTCAAACTGACATTTCTCTCTTGATCTGACAAATGACGAGAGTGAATTATTTGCACCTCTCCGATGACGTTCCCCTTTTTGTCCAACTGATAAGCGGCAATCGATTCAGCCCCGCGCCACTATGCGCCCGGTGAAGAAACTTTTTAAATTGCACTACGATTGAAACTTTTTTATCTCACACTATCCCAGTAGTTTGCTAGAAAGGTCCTGTCCTTTTGAAAACATGTTATATTTTTCGGATTATATATTGCTTTACTTCGCTTTGTCTTATAACTTACAGCAGTAGTAATAACTAGTTGCGGCTTACCTCCCAGAATGTTTGACGCAATCACCGTAATCATTTATCTTTGTATCCACACCACATGCAGAGACGACAAGATTGAGCTTTAAAGAATTTATGATACTTTTGATAAGATGTTTATTAAAAATCACATATGTATCTACTGGGTGACTTCTTAGTGTGCAAGTGGTCCACAGCTCCGTTATTATAAAGGAAATCTAAATAAATTATTTATATGAATTATGGGCTTTATATAGAATGATTCATATTTTAGTATATTCTGAGAAGCCAGTTCAAAGGAAGAAGTTTTAAACATACTATAGGGTTTGAATTGCTACTTCTGGAGCTATGAGATGTTTTTTCGAAGAAAGCGGTCAACTTTGACAGCTTGCAAGTCAATTACCTTTTCTAGAATAGCAGAGTTTCCTTAAAAATTAGCTCCGTAACCCAGTTTCTCGTCATTTAAATGGTATTATGTTTTGCCCAACATCGATAGGGTGTTTGTAAAAGCAACATGTGATTTTCTTAAAGAAATCAAATGGAACACTGTGTATTTTTACGATTTAGAATTATCCTTTTCATACGTTTTATTTTGGCTTACATGTTTATGGAATCAACTTACTAAATTGTTGAGTTATATGCAGCTTTCGGTCTTTCGGCCATTTCCACGAATCATCTGATATTTATTTATTTTGTACTGTAATTTCTGAGAAACTGCTTTTAAATCAAGAATTTAGTGATCAAAATCCCTAAAACTATTATCCCAAAGTAAAGGTTATCGAAAGGATACACAACCATAAAATATACGGGATGTCCCATTTACATTTTTAGATGAGTGCATTTTGACGCAAAAAAACCTGTATGATCAGTGTTAAAAGTTGAAAAGGTCTAATCGGCATAAAACCGTGGGATTTGAAGGGTGGCCCATAACACGTTACTAACAAGTAAATAGCAACGCTTTAAAATAAACTAAGCCTTATGCTCTTCAGGGGGGTTAAGGTTTGCGCTTTAACCTAGACACTTAGCAACCACAAACAATACTTTTAACCGAGTCCTTGAGCATTGAAAATGTCCATTGAAAACACCCAAGAAACTTTGTCCGGTGTGAAAGAGAACAGTTGCTTTTAAAATGTTTTGAACAAGTTGCTTAAACAATTTTCGATCCAATAAACTTGATTCTGGAAAAGCTGGGAAATTTTTTCCATGAATGCTTTTTCCTGTGTGAAAAAAAAAGATGACAGCTTCGTTTCTAGGCTGGCTGTAACACTGGAAATATTTAGCTGGCGGTAATTCATTCAGAGATCCAATCTATGCTACGATCAATCTCACTATTACAAAAAACGAAAAAAATTAACGCTCAAACCTATTTTTTTGTCGTTTCAGGGGCATCAGATAATTCTCAGAAAAAATTATTGTAGAGGTTAATAGTCGAAGGTTTGACGGTTGTAGGTTATGGGGGTACGCTTCCAGCCCCGGTAATTTTCCACGCCTATCAGTACATACTTCACACATCATAGATTTCCCAGTACATGCGTCCTTAAAACTATTTAAATATTATGTACAGACTCGATCCGTGATTAGACGGGACGACATCAACCTTCACGCGTCAGACTCTCTGTACGTCAGATTGCATCGACGGCGTCCGCGATCTGGAGTTATAGTATCGCTGCTGGCCTAGTGTTCTGGTGTGGTTCAGCACCGTTGCCAGATGGTTGGTACTTAGAGCAGCGAAGAAATTAGCGTTAACGTTATGAAATGAGTGGGGACTATGTAGTGTGGCCTAATTGTATGGGCCTCTTTGGCTGACTTGATTTTTTGTTATACATGCTTGTAGGTAGTTCGAATTCAAACTTGTGCTGAACGTAATAATTTATGAACTGATGACAGCACTGCGTGGGAAGTACAGCGTCAGCCACTTAGGTTGAGATTGCACAAACGAGTAGATAGCTTTGTCTCCGAAGCTATATAATAATTAGTTTGCATCTCAAAACTCTTTGAGAATTTGAGTAACTGCCGAACATTTCTCACTGTGCGCCGCTGAAACATCACAATACCAATACTTGCCAAAGCTTGAACAAGCCGCTTTAAAGCGCTACTTAAGCCCAGCGCTCGCTCAAAGCGAGTCATTTTCCGGAAGCGCCACGAACAGGCAGCAGGCGCGCCTAAAAATACGCTTCTATTGGTCCGCGCTCGCTTAACAATTGACTAAGGACTAACGCGGAGTGCTCGAAGTGAGATATGCGTAATGCGAAGTGATAGACTCGGGACGCAAAGTCTTTCGGTTAGTTTTAGTCATTTGTTTCGGGAGTGGAGTGGATAACCGAAAGGATGAAGATTGTATCTGGGTCCAACATGAAGATACATCAGGGGAGAGCGTTGTTCCAGTATTTGGCGTCATTTAGTGGTAGGTGGACTTTGGTTTCGGTATTTCTTTAATCATACAATTGAACACTACCAACGATTTGACACGTTAAACTTCATCCTTATCCCATACGAAGAAAGGTGACGCTTCCGGCTTATAACTGCTCGACGCTTTGCGCAATGTACAAATGATAAGTATCGACCCATCTAATAGCCGAAATACCAAATATTCACAGAGCAAACCAACAATGGTTTTCTATGCTTGTATGCAGAAATAGACCCGATTGAAGACAAGTGAGTGTGGTTGTTTGAAAAACTCAAAATACTATGAGCCGGTAGAATAGGGGTATGCCGTCATCTTTTATCGTGCGGGATAAGGATGGCAAACAATTTGTAGGGAAGTCAGATTTTTCAAATGACTATACTCCCTTGATCGCTTTCCGTTCATCTGTAACCAGGACTACTAGACCTATACACGAAACGTCGAAGTTTGCGTTTGGTCTTCATTACAGAGACGGAAAGCAAACATGTCCGCTTCAATTAAACTCTATGATCCATCTCCAAGATGATTTTTTTCAAAATTATATGGTACATTGACAAAGAAATTAGAACACCCAGTTAAAATGATTTTATTTGAATAAAATTTTGTATACAGTTAGAAGATGTCGTGATTGAATTTTGAATTGAAAACATTATTTGCAGTGTTGCTGGATTTCGCTGATAACAGCTTGGAGTCAGATACTTCAGGAAGATGATCTACCTCCGCAGAAACACTTTTTTCCCTCTTGCTTATGTCTAACTACACTGACATATAAAATACTGTTCAAGAAAAACAATACTTACTAGGTTTCATAATTTCTTTTAAACTGAGCATACATGTATAGAATTTAACATACAGCTCACCTAAAAATGTAGATTTTGGCAATATGGCTGATAACACTTCCTTGATGCGTAGGATCAGGTTTTTTTTCTTATACTCAGCGTTTAATCTGACACCTTTTTAACAATATGTCAACATAGTGTGTTCTTCTGGGCTCTCCAAAATATCGCTGTGTTCTGGTGGTCTTGCAAGGAGGGGTTATTTGTGCGACTTACATAAGTTGAAAGGTCTTTATTCTTCAATGTCTTATTGTGACGTATCTGTTATGTTCCAATGTATTCTGGGTCTCATTGAGCCTACATATTAACTCTTACATACTTTTTATTATTTCTGTTTTGGTAAAACTCCATGTATTCTTACGCAAATTGTAGAAACAACGAACCAGATTCTTTGGAATTATCAAACAATGACTCCTTACACTTTTTTACCCAGCTTTGGATGGTAACCATGATAAAAACATTTAAAACGAAGTTGTAGTTTTCACCATGTGTTTATGTATGTTAGTTCTTGACATGATCATATTTGTTTTGAGCTGGTTAGTTGGAAACGAATCTCAAGTATGTTGAGAGATATTTTTTTATAATTTAAGAAGGTCTAAGGCCGACCCTTACAACTACAGATCTATAGTTCCTTTTGTTGTAAGTAAGATGATGGAGAGCTGCATAAATTGGGTGCTTCTGGAATATCTTAAACACCACGCTCCATTTAGCGACCTTCGGTATGGTTTCCGGCACCAGCAGTCAACGAAAGCTATATGAGCTAAGACCGCGGAGATGTCTCTAGCTCACAGGGCTCCGAACTATAAACATCTTCTGAAGACGTTAAGTAAAAATATTTTACGACGGCCTAACTACCCAAAAACCAACCTAATAACAAAACTTTAATATTTTTGAACTGTTAACGAAGGCATACATCGCAAGGCTAATAATACAAGCTCATGCAGTATATTTTCCAAGAATCGCCATACAGTATAAGTACAGTGAAATCTCCTTTGGACAGACACCAATGGAACTGACTGAAAATGTCCGTTCAAGAGGTGTCTGTATAAAAGGAGTACAACAAAAATCGGGTTTTAATGAAAACTGAATATAAGGAAACTTGGAAATTTAAAACGAACTCGAATATGTAATAAATGTTTGTAAAATGAACAAAAAACTTTAAACTTAAGACAAAAAGGTTATGTTTTACCTTTAAAGTATGCACATACATATCTATAATATAATATGTACGTTCATATATATGTAAATACACATACGTAGTAACACAAAACAGTCAAATAAAAAGTAACTTGAAGGAAGCAAAAATTCATATATTGTCGTTTGCTTCCCCGTTTTCTTTAAAATGGCATTGAAATCGCATTTCTATTTTAGAAAGAAACTCTAGAGACTCCGTATCTCCCTGACTTTCGACAAAACTTTTGAGCTGCTTGGACAGGATAATAGCTTTACCATAATTTGGAATAGCTTCTGTTGGTACTGGAACCTCATCGACATCAGAATCATCGGAAAGTTCTTCAACTGGATTTTCAATTTCTTGCCCTGAATCTGGATCTTCAACATAAAAACTTTCATCTAGGTTCAAAAAGATTTTCATTATCGGCCAATTACAATAAATGTTGATCTTGGCATAGGCTGCGTTTGTATCGAAATATCAAAGTCGGTGAATCCCCGGTTTACTCGTGAAAGTCCCAGCAAGATGGCGCACTGCACGATTGAGAAATGCAATAGCGATAATCTCATCAGAAAAAAATAAGTCAGGGCATTTCTTTTTATTTTGTTTTTTGTCCGGTTGGAAGAACATTTCCTCGTGTCCGCGTCCGTTCAAGAGTTATCCGTCCAAGATAATACAACGCCGATTATATGAGAGTCGGTCGGGACATTGAGAAGCTTTTCGTTTAAAGGAGGAATCCGTGTAAGACGGGTGATCGCGAAGGGGAATTTCACTGTATATTATTTCTATGACCCACTATGAAATTACACTAATGCATAAAACACAAATAATATAAAAACACTTAAAACCAATATGCAGTCTCATTGAACCCAGGACACATTAAAAGCAAGATTGCTTAGAGACTTTCGACAGTGTTGCGCTATTTTTATGTCACCTACATTTGCAATTCCTAAGCTTTAAGCTCGTCTTACTAATTGATTATTAAAAAATATCTAGTTTGTATACAGGTAGTCTGCCTTATGATGCAGATCTATTTTGAAATTCATAAATGCAGCTCACTTATAGATGTCCATGACCAGTTTGATATGAACTAGAGATGTGCCCCGTTATATCTACAAATATATGAGCTTCCCGTAAAATGAATTTGCACTTTTATCAGGATGATTACTATATCTCGTTGACATACATAGGCGTTTGATTATAAAAGGATAAGTTGTTAGTCTATGATCATTACGGGACATTTGAGTACTGGGTGCTGCATTTGGAGTTCTGACTTATTTGAATAATGTCATATCACATCAGAATGGAAAAGAAAATACCTATTCTATCTTATGTGATGAAGATAGTTTTGGTCCAAGAACAATGGAGGCATGAAAAGGGAAGATTTATTGTGATGTATCAGTTTTGGTTCCCGAAGCTAAAGCTTTTTCACAGAAGTCAAGACGGTATTTGTCTGATGGAGAAATCAAGAGATATTTCAGAATGCAGGGAGTGTTGATTTAGAATCTACTATAGTCTTAACTCTGTTTGCAGCTAATTCGAGCGCCGATTTGTATCCATAAAAAAGGTTTTATTTTAACCTTGCTCTTGCAAGACTATCTGTCATCTTATTACTAATTAACAAACTGCCGCTTAGAAAGCTTCAACATTCAAAGTACTTCCGAAGAGAGACGGAAAAATTCGAATTTTACCAAAATCGTTTTAAGTTTTTCCTGACCTTATTTCTACTGGGATGTCAAATTAAATTGCACGATGACATTGCCAGTTTTTCTCCTCTACAAGATGGCATAATTATAATAATTTCAAAATCATGTTTCGTCCCTTGTGCTCCAGCATTAACTTTATTTTTCTTGTTGACGCACAGGTGAATAGTGTTTTTAATTCTGATTCTAAAAATGCATAATATGCCATACATTGACATAGCCAAATTTTGGTTATTTCAAAAAACAGAATTTCCTACGTAGACCAAGAAATTATCAGATAGTAATTTGTTTGGCATAGCAGATTTATCGCAAAATCATTTTTATTGTTTCCTGACTGCTTGGGATGAAATTTCATAGTCAACTGCATCTTTCTCCTCTACAAAAGATGGCGTAATCAAATTTTCAATTCGAGGCTTCTCTCGATTTCCATCACCAACTTTGTTTTCCATTGCAAGCTACATTAGAATTTTTACATTTAAATAGACTTTTTAGTCCTAAATTCAGTGATATTGGCAATGAATTTGTTGTTGGAATGAAAATTTTATTGATAGTAACAACAATAATAATCATAAAGAAGCAGAGGTTGAAAATAATAATGATAATAATAAAACGTATTTTATTAAAGTGCGAAGTTTAGCTTGAAGCTATTCTGCCACTTAACTTAAAATGTTTTCCGTTATTTTGTAAGCAAAGCCTGACTCTTCTCTGTACATTGTTCACTGCTCGGCTTATTTCCCTACTTCTCGGTCTTCCGAACTCTGTTACTATTTTGAGTTTGGGGTCTGTTGTGGTAAATGAAACAGATGACCACCTCATAATTTCAAGGCTCACTTAGGAAATCCTGTTTTTCTGAAATAACGGCTTGGAAATGTCTATATGTGACATATACTTTTTTGGAATCAGACTTAAAAACTCTATTCATGTGTACAAAAATCCAATATGGTGCCCATAAGGAGAAATAAAGGTATAGGGCAGAAAAGGTGGCAATCTATTTTGGATTCCCACTATAAATAAAGTCAGGAAGGAATTAAAACTATTTTGGGAAAATACTTAAAATAAAAGACGCAACGCCGCCCTCATTTAAGCGACTTCGTATATCTTACAGTTTTCGAGATCCCGATGCTCAGGGTCCAATTTGAAACACCCGGGATATAGTATGTTCCTCTTCCACGATTTAGTAGCACGCCTTGAAGTCTTAATAATGTTTATTGTAGCTGATCTATGCTGGCAAAACCTTTGACGAAAACAACGTCAATAACAAACACTTTAATTATTTTTCATTAATATACTATATTGATGTGCTTTTATACATCCCAGATGCTGTAACGATACTACTAGTATCAAGCAGAATTGGTCTGGTCTAAGATCCGGCACTCAAATCGTGGATTTACCACGTTTATTGGCACGTTTATCGTGACACTCGAAATTGGATGGAAGTATGTTTATCACAATATGCCAAATGCACCTCTCCAAACGCATTTTATAGTGCAGCGGCCAAAATTCACGAGAAGCTATCAACCCATTGCTCTCCATAATTATGTACACCAATTATATTTTCTTGGCAACCTGAACTACATAAATAATGTATCCCGAAAGTTATAAAATGTAATGTCTGATTCTTATAGAGGAAAGCACCTAAACCGGACCTCACCGAGGACTTGATCTGGCACGAACATATTTCGTCAATCGCGGCAGCTATTTGTTTAAGGCTAAGAAGTGCTTCTATCCGCATGACCTCCCCATACTGTACAAGCTCCATATAAAACCTAGCCTTGAGTACTGCTCAAATATCCTAGATGCTGCCGCCCCGACTACATTATCCATGCTCGATGCTGCTCAGAGGAGGGCTATGACTGATGACTCTTCCCCTACGTACGGACCCTTTCAAATGGACTGTCGGCTATCTGGCTCTCTTCTCCCCCCATTTAAACGGGTTTTGCCCCTCAGACAGGCCCACCTGACTTCCGTCTACTATCGTAACCGTGTCCAACCTTGTACATCCAGAACGTCAACTCCTTTGTCACTATGGTTTCGAGATTGTGGAACAATATCCCTGAGGAGGCTTTTCCCAGTTCTGTCAACCTAAGGCGGTT